CAGAAGGTGGAAGGTCGCTTAGTCATCAAACATTTTCATAAAATAGAAATAAGCAACCTTGAACTTGGACAACAGTATTTCTTCAGCGTGGCCACAGAAGATGAAGATGGCAATTTAAGCGAATGGGTCACTGCAACTGTCTCCACAGGTAAAATCTGAAAATCCACATCATTTTTAGATTTGCTTCACTGTTCATATTTTAATTGGATTAAACATAATCACTGCTCTCTTGCAGTTGTGCCACCCCCTCGACATTTAACAAAAGAGCACTCCGATGCTACATCTCTGACCTTGAAATGGATGGATGGAGAAAAAATGGAGGGAATTCCTCAACAATTTCTCATAGCTGTTGAAAGTCCAGGAAAAGAGCCTCTGGTGATACACACCCATGATTACTGCAAAAAAGTCTCTGATTTAGAACCAGACACAAAGTACACCATCTCTGTCTCAACAGTGGTGAATGATAGGTGCAGCGAGCCAGTTTCTATCTGCACACACACAGGTGAGATGATGCTTTTTAATTTTTTTTTTAAATGTCAACTATATAGACATATTTGATATATTTGAAGAATTACAACTGCTAGCATTTATTTTCTCACATTACATATACAAATATACTTTACTGGTACCAATTATACTACAGAAGAATAAAGGTGATGAATGATACCATGAATCTATGGGAAATAAATGCTAAAGCTAGATTAAGAAGAGAGGTGACGATCCGCGAGCGGCAGTGTGGCTTCATGCCGAGAAGGAGCACTACAGATGCTATGTTTGTGTTGATGGAGAAGTATAGAGAAGGAGCTTCGCTGTGTCTTTGTGGATCTAGAGAAAGTATATGACAGGGTGTCAAGAGAGGAAATATGTGTATGTGAGGGTGGTGGAGGAGATGAGGACAGTAGAGACAGTGGTGAGGTGTCATGTTTCGGCTGTGTGAAGGCAGGCAAAAAGGTGGACCCAAGAACTCACGGAGGCACAGGTGAACTCAAAACCCTCAGTTTTATTGAGGAAAAGCAGACTGAACAAAGAACTAACTAGACTGGAATGCAAATAAACTAGCAGGCAGGCAAACAGAACACACAGGGGTGGGGTAAGAGGATGAACAGACGTTAACGACGCGACACTGACATAAAAAGACACACTGGGCTTAAATACACTGAGGCAGTAATCAAGGGACGACAGACAGGAGGGGAACACACCTGGGGAAAATCACAACTGACGAGGCAGGGGAAACGTAACTTGAACACACTCACATAAGACAAGGACCTTCAGAATAAAACAGGAAACTAACAGACACAGAGGACCAGACAAGACACCATGGACAGACAGAGGGACATACGGGCAGAGAAGACTAAGCACAGGCAACCTAAACTAAACATGAGGGCAAGATAGCAAGACCTAAACCAGAAATAATCATCATCATCATCATCATCAGATAGCTAAAGGAACAGAACATAATTATAATCAAAACAGTATCACCAGAGAATAAGAAATGATCCATAATGCAAAAATAAACTAAAACATAAGAAACTCAAAATGCCGTGACATGAGGTGTGCGGTAAGAGTGAGAGATGAGTTAAAAGCAGTGTTGGGAAGGTTACTTTTAATATGTATTCCACTACAGATTACAGAATACATGCCCCCAAATATATTTTGTAACAAGCTTTTTACAACAACATGAATGCACTATTGCTGTGTGATTTATTACTATTACTGAAGGATACTCGTCATACCAATACCAACTAGATTTTTAAATCTTAATATAAAATGAGTAACAGTAGGGGGGACATTAGGTAAGGCTGCACTTTTTGCAGCGATCTCGTATAGAAAACTTTTCCGTGCGTATACAAAACAGGTCCGCGGCTCCAGGCCGCAGTAAAGGGACCTCTGGCTAATACGTCGGGTTCTGTGTTGAACTTGTAGCCAAAAAATAGCTTTACTTTGTTGTCTGGGTCAACTTTGCTAGCGAGAGACAGAGAGAGGCGTTGAAAGGCTGCTTCAATGGAACTTATTGTTTCGGGGGAAAACATGAACACAGTTTACAGTCGAGTCTTAATAGCTTGCTTACAACTGGGCTACACTGCCCATAAGGCTACATTCTTTAGGGCTATGCCTGTAACACTTTGCTTGTTGCCTTCATATTAAATAATTTTTTGAAGAATAATTAAAAGGAAAAAAAATCTTAACGTCATTATGCGGGCCACAAGTAGAGGTGACATGGGCTGCGAGATCGAGACACAGGCATTAGAGCCTCTTAATGCCTGTTTTGTTTGGGTTTCCACCGGAAACAGAGAGGGGACAGCTTAACATATGAAACAGGAAAAGACCACCATGTAATTCCTTTATTTCAGCAAAGTAACTGTATTCTGAATACCACCTCTTTAAACGGTAACTGTAACGGAATACAGTTACTCATATTTTGTATTTTAAATACGTAACGGCGGCACATGTATTCCATTACTCCCCAACACTGGTTAAAAGTGGTGCTGCGATTGGTGTTTCCAGTGGTGATGAACAGACTGACAGATGAGGTCAGGCAGGGGTCTCTGTGGACTACGATGTTTGCAGACAACAGTGTGGTCTGTAGAGAGACAAGGGAGCAGGTGAAGAGAACCTGGAGAGGTGAAGGTATGCACTTCAGAAAGGAAAATGAAGGAAGAAAGAATATGTGAGGGAGGCAGATGGCCTTAGACTGTCATGTTTTGTTATTAAGGCATTCTGCTTCCCTTGTTTTAAATTTAAAATAAATGCCATTAAATTGCCAGGTTTTAGCTTGACTTGAGGTTGATGTAAGGCAGTTATGAATTATATATGTTTTGTGTTGGTTACCAACCCTTCACACTAAAGCTTTACCATGATCCACTCACTATCTTAGTATGTTATCATGCGTCTTCTGTGGGTATCTTGATGCTCGGTTGTGAAAAATAAATTAGTGCTGTCAGCGTTAATCTCGTTAAAATGGCGTTAATGCCATAACCACATTAACACGGCGTTAATGAGCTAACTGTGCTAACACGTTTACGCCGTGAAGCCCCACGCATGGGGTGATCCACGATAACTCGCTAACTGAGATTTGCCGTGTTAATGCGGTTATGGCGTTTAACGTCATTTTGATAAGATTAACGCTGACAGCACCATAATCAGTAAAAATGCCCTAGTACACTTACTGGTTTCTTTTGTTAATTCACAGAGCCAAGTCTAAGGCAGGTGTTGTCAAAGATTGGACTGGAAGACCAGTATGACACCAAACTCACACTTAGCACTGTCCTGGAGATTAATCAGTATGATCGATCACAGAGGAAACCAAAATCTGCAAGGGCAGTTCCTGAGGCCTTTTTAAAGCAACTCATGTTGCTGAATGCAAATGCTAGAAGTGCCACATGTGTGTCTCAAGATGAGGACAAGTGCAATGCTATCAATCTTTTGGACTTGGTAACTGCACTGTTCCTTTGTTCAGACAGTGCTCTTCAGCAGGACTTGGCCCTGAAAATGTCACTCTGTCAGTTTGCTGTCCCGCTCTTGCTTCCAAACTCTGAAACAAGAGAAATCACAATGATGCTGTGGTCTATGCGCGACATTGTCCGAACTTTCAGACCCTCTCAGCAGGCGTTCCTAAAGTCATACTGTGATGAAAGACTTGTGCTGTCTGATATTCCTTTGGTATCGTTTGTCAGGCTGGGAAAAACATCTTTGTCCAAATCTCAGATGTTGAACAAGTTGCTGTGCAACAATCAGCAGATTCATCACACATTTTGTCACCGTATCATGGCATGTTGTGATGTCCCCAGAAGAATTTCAGATGGACTGGTGGAAATCAGCTGGTACCTCCCGTGTGGGAACAGGAAGATAGATAAATTCACAGAACCATTGGCTTTTACCAATCTGAGAGGAGATATCAAGGCTTCTGAAAGACAATTTGCATTCCTCTGTCAGGCATCTGCAGCTGTTTACATCTACTGTGATGAATCAGAAACGAATTACTTCAAGCATCTGGAAGGAAAACATCTGGAAGCAAATATCTTTTTGATAAGCAGCACACAGGGAAAAAGCTATAGACTCAAACAACTGACTGTGAACCCAAGATTAAAGATGACTGATATTAGTCAGATTAAAAAGACTGATACCGAACTACTAAAGGTACTCCAGGAATCAGTCTCTAAAATGCTAGTAAGCCCCGAAACCAAAAAAGTGTCATTGGCAGATTTGGCTTACACAGCTCACTGTTGTCAGATTCTCATTGATGAGGATAGGGATGAATGCCAGAGTGCTTGGGAGAATGCGAGTAAAATCACTGCAAAGGTAACTAACATCTCTGAATTCAAAGACAAGCAACTGCCTTATCAGGGAAACATCTGGAAAGCAATTTCATGGGTGGAAACTGAGTGCTGGAGGCTTCGTAAAGTTGGAAACAATAACCCTGACAATTACTGCGAGTCCATAAAAGAAAAAGAGAAAGAGCTGAGGAACAAGCAGCGAAGTTTTGAGATGACAACTGCAGTGGAACGCTTCCACCATGGGATGACAACCTCAGAGGTTCAACGCTACCATTTTCTCAAATGGCTGGAAATGGAACTGGATAACCTGTCCAGGCATCAACTGTCAGCTCTCCAGGATCGATACAAAGAGCTTAGGCAGAAATCTCTCGAGGAAACAAAAGAAATTGTGGAAACTGACAACCAAATTTCAGCTTGCTCTTTAAGAGTAGTCCACTTTGTCAGAGAGTGTGGGCAGCTGTATAATAATGTGAGTTGCCTGCCAGAATACAGTCATCAGAGAAAAAACATCGAACAGCTTCCTGGACAGTGTGCTCAGATGATGCTTGATGGTTTCCCTCTTGAGCTTGTTGATGGAGATGCAGCAAACATCCCAATAAAATGGATCAGCCAGGTACTTACTGAATTGCACAACATCATGAATTCCAGTAGCAAGCTTAAGGTCATCACAGTCATTGGAGCTGAAAATTCAGGTAAATCAACTTTGCTCAACACCATGTTTGGGGTCAGGTTTGCCGTCAACGTGGGTACATGCACCAGAGGGGCATTCATACAGCTGATCAGTGTCAGTAAAGATATCAGGAAAGAGCTGGGCTGTGACTGCATCATGCTCATTGATACAGAGGGCCTGAAACCACATCGGATGGTTCGTGATGATCACAGCCACGAACGTGACAAAGAAGTTGCGAGCCTTGCAGTGGCACTCAGTGATGTTGTAGTTGTCAGTATTTCCAACGACAGCTCCAGAGAGAAAGACCTCTGGGAAATGGTGTGTCATGCTTTTGCAAGGCTGAAGGGTGTTAGCAAGAAGAAGCCAGTGTGTCATTTTGTACATACAAACATGTATGACATGCCTGCTTTGGAGCAGCTGAAGAGAAGTAAAGAGCTGATGGAACAGCTCAATGAAATGATCGGAAAAGATGTTAAAATGAAGAAGGCCAACATCAATAAGCTCTCAGATGTGATCAAGTTTGATCTAAACAATTGGAGCTGGTACATTCCTCCAGTGTGGGATGGGACTCCACCAATGGCTCCTGTCAATGTTGGCTACAGTGCAACTGTCTATACTTTGAAAAAGGTTCTAATAAATGACCTCCAAAAGTGCCCGGAACGAGGGGATCTAATTCAATTCATCGGGAAGGTAGAACAATTCTGGAAGAGTGTGTAAAGAAAATACAGGAAACTGATATGGACTTAGTATATGGCCATAAGCTATCTGACCACAAAAAAGTATTTATTTTCAATATTGTTCACTCATTTTTGTTATTTACAATGTGTTTTCTGAGTCATTAAACGCTGTACAAATGAAACATCAAAGAGGTATATATGCATACTGTGTATGCTTACATAAATAACCATGTACTATGAGGCAGGTTGTCAGTTAAATTTCACCAAGAGGAAAAATGGTGCAAGGATATGAAACTGATATTCACTGTGTGGTAGACACAAATCACTAGTAATTGTTCTGAAACAGGTATCAAAAAGATATTAAAAATATTGTTTCAGATGCTACTCTGCATAATAAATATTGTAACTCATAGCAAAACATTCATGTTTTCTATGTGTATTAGATATTTCACAGTTAAAGCATTCAAGTTTAAGATGAAGATTGTATAAGTGGCATTAAAATATTGAAATTCAGAAAATACATTTTTACATTCATATTAATGTTTCAACAAACTTGTAGATACTAAACTGCATAGTTAGTGACCAATTCACCCAAATTACAAATACAATGAAGAAACAGAAAATACATCTTATAATTGAAGTTTCACAGTATCTCGTCAGTGCAAACAGGATCTTATTTTTTCAGGCTTTTAAATGCAATTCTTCTGCAAATTCATATGAATGTAAACTTTTAAAGACACCATAGGTTTGGTCTATTCCCGCTGAAATATCACTCTCATCTCTCGTTACACACACGATACATATTAGATTTATACAACAGTAACACATTTAAGGGATTTTTATAAGAGGTTTTGCACGTAACTGAAAAAACACCAAGATGTCTTTGTACACGTGAGAAAAACATTAACAGTCCGTAGTCTTGCCAGTGTTGTGTTTAGTGCAGTAGTGTTGTGTTTACTGAAGAATCAACGAGACATCATTCTCACAAACTCTGTGGAAAGAGAGAATATATTTGCATTGTTTGTTGGGAAAAGGGCACTACCACAGTCATCTTAAAAATATTTAATAAGATTATATCATCCCTAATTGTATTACCCCCCCCCCCCACACACACACACACACACACTCACACAAACACACCACCACCACCGATCTTAACTAAGAGATAAATTGTATCACCTTCAAAGTCCACCTGTCCATCCCCGTTGAGGTCAACATCTCGCAGGATCTCATCAATCTCGCGGTGGTTGAGCTGCTCACCCATTAGCTTCTTCATGGCTTCCCTCAGCTCTCCAAGGCTGATCTGACCATCGCCATCAGAGTCAAACTAGAAAGCAGAATGGAAGGACTTTAAAAGGAAAATAAGCATTTAAAAAAAGCAAAACAAAAACATTTTGGAGTGTCAGTTTGAGGGAAGGCCTACTCGGGTTAAGCTGGGCATACACTGTACGATTTTTTGCCCATTTTGAGCAGATTTTTCAGTCGTGTGACAGTTTTGGGGATCGGCCTGAATTTCACCTTAATCGTGAGTCGTGCATCGTGTAGTATACATGGGGTAACAAGAAGCGATTAACACCTCACGACCAGCTCCCAATCATCAATTGTTTGGTTACAAGAAAATCAAACCTGTTTGAAATCCTGTCGGCCCTCATGAGGGTGTCAACGCAGCCTCTCACACAACGCAACAGAAATGAAAGTAGAAACACGGTTTTAGCATGGCAGTGCAGAGTGTGATCTGGACACAAGTGATGGAGGCACAACTTGTAGAACTTTGGCAAGCTCATCTGAGCCTTTTCGATGTGGCCTCACAAAATGATCATGGCCGTACCAACCATGAAAAGAGTTGGATGAACATTGCTGCTCAATTGCAGCCGCCTGGTCAATGTTTTTCATTAGCAATTCAGCAAAGTTGATGGTGGTGGTGTGTGTGTCTGTGTCAGTTAAAGAGAGAGGGAGAGACAGATTTTGTATGATAAGCTTCATGTTATGGACGCACAGTGTAAGCACTCAGGTCGTATCAGAGTATCTGGCCATATAGTGTGAGACCCTGCATCGTCACCTACAAACTTCTCACCCCTGCGATTCAATCGTACAGTTTGAGCAGGAGCTGAATAACGCAACTGAAACAATCGCACAGTGTATGCTCAACTTTAGCATGGCTGAGGTATGGACCTCAGTCATTTGTTGCACCTTAAATAGCATACATTAGGAGAAAAAACACTGGACCGCATTCATTTCTAAACCCTAGTTTAAGCCTGGATATGGGTCAGGGATAGCTCAGTAGGTAGAATGGTTGCCCCATGATCGGAAGGTCAGGGGTTCGACTCCACTGAACAGCTACCCTGAGGTACCCCTGAGCAAGGTACCGTCCCTACACACTGCTCCCCGGGCGCTGCATTGGTGGCTGCCCACTGCTTCACTGGGTGAATGGGTTAAATGCAGAGGAGTAATTTCCCTACGGGGACTAACGCATATACACACACACATGGTTTTCTGTTTTGCTAAAATAAAATTGCAGACCTCCTTGAAGGCGTCCCGTAACTCTTTAACCCCAATCATGTCTGCAGTCTCTGCAAGCATTTTGGGGCCCATCAGTTCCACAAAATCCTCAAAATCCACTCTGCCACCACCTAGAAGAAAGATAAATATGCATGCATAGTATGATTATTTACTGAAGATCCAGTGGTACGGAGTTAATTGTGCATGCATTTAAGACAGAGCTTAGCAGACCCACGTCAATATGTTATAAACAGAAGTCATAATAAGAGCATATTTGTAGTGATGTGAAAATATCCAATGAAAACTGTCCACTGCAGCCATTAGCTGTGTCTAAGACATGTCTATAATTTAACTAGTTTATTTGTATCATCTGGCTTTATGCTTAATTAAAACGGCGTATCATCTGCATAGGAATGAAAATGGAGTGTTTTATAATAATACTGTAAGGGAAGCATCTATAATGTAAAAAGTTATGGTCCTAGCACAGAACCCTGTGGAACTGTGATTAACATTTGCATGTGAGGAAGACTCGCCATTTATATGCACAAACTCTACTGCAGTGATTCAAACCACTGCAGTACAGTTCCTAAGAAGATGATTCATCATTCATATAATTCACTACACTATTTCTGTGCTATGATGCACTCTAAATCCTGACTGTAACTCTTCAAAGAAACCTTTTCAAAAGCTCATTTAACTACTTGACAACTTTCAGGAATTTTGGAAATAAATAAGGCTATAAATGAGAAATGATTTAAGATTTATGTTTTAATTCATGGTAAAATGTCTTTGAGCAGTTTTGTAGGGTCTAGAAGACACATTGACACATTGCTGATATGAAGTTTACTCATATCAGCATTTAACAGAGATGCTGTACTTAACGACAGTACCAGTGAATATTTTTTCTCCAATAGTTAAAAAGTTATTTGTAAAGAAATTAATTAAATCATTGCTAGTTAATGTAAGGAGAACATTTTGGCAGTTCATCAGAGTTAATAGATTTACAGGTGAAGAAAGGACAAACAGACATTTTGGACATCAACTGCTTTGCAGTTCTGCTTTATCCTGGTGCTCCTTCACTGGTCTTCCGAGTGAAAGATTTTAGGGAATTACAGAATTATCTATCTGTGTTCAGGACTCACAGATTTGCTGGCTGAGTTCGATAAGTTCCATCTCTGTTGGCATGTATCCCATAGTCCTCATGCACTCGCCCAGGTCCTTACAGCTGATGAAGCCGTCCTTATCTTTGTCAAATTCCCTGAAGGCCTCACGTAACTCTGCAAGTAGAACACATCAATACAGATTATGCAAAATATTTTGCCATTGGGCAAAAGTATGACAGAGTACATTTGCTTTCTTGAGAAAACAAGACACAGTTTCAGTCTCAGCTGCCCTGGATCAGTGAGTGTACAGATGGGGATGGGGTATCTGTCTGAGAGTTGATTTTTTTAATACTTCCAAATTGCTTTAGTTTTTATTTGAATTATTTTTGACTTGTTGTTAGTATGACATAGTAAAAAAAATAATTTTTCAATAATGTTTCACAGACTTCTCTGTTTTCTGTGACATGCTGGATACAATCTTTGGACCAAATAACTGATTTCTGTCTTATCAGTGCTTGAAGATTACAGTCAAGATTACAGATCACAGTTTGTTGGCAACACTGTGCACTGTAAATATTAAATTTTTTTTTTTTTTTTGCATAAATATGATATTTTTGCCCCCAATAAAATTCTTTAAAACTTATGAAATACTTATGGTCGTTCATCATTATATCAATAAAAATGTAAAAACAGAAACTGCAGCTGCAAAGATTGTGAAACATTATATTTTTAAATTGGGACTTTCTATTTCATTTGCAAACTTTTTATTTTTGCATCACTCTCTTATGAGGCAATAATGTTTTGAATGAACTTTCATCTCATTATTTGCATGGACCAAATGCATGGATCTTTTTTCTTTCTTCTTCAATCTTCTTACAACATTATAACACTGAATACTTTGCACTCTGCTGCCTGTTGTTTGTGAATAGTGTGACATGGATGATTGCAGTCCATATCCAAACTTGTCCAAATAAAATTAACCTGAACCTGAACAGATGGTGACACAGATCCCCCTGTCACCATTAAATCATTGCAGAAGAAATATATCAAGTTTCTACTACACTAAACCAAAGTCATAGAATCTATATTTAAAATAGAAATGAC